CAGTCCTAACGGCAGTCATATTTAAGAGTAAGGGAGGTTGCAGGTGGGAGGTTAGGGATTTACCAGTACAGATTGAATTTTGGTCCCAGGGTTGTTAGAGTTGGGGTATGATTTGTGTAATGAACTGTTACACATCTCTAAATGAAATTTCTGCCACTTTTTGCTAGTATCTGTACATTGAACTATTCAAGGAAAAGGGAAAGGAAGAGGGAGAGGGAGAGGGAGAGGGAGAGGGAGAGGGAGAGGGAGAGGGAGAGGGAGAGGGAGAGGGAGAGGGAGAGGGAGAGGGAGAGGGAGAGGGAGAGGGAGAATCCATGCTGCCATCTACTGGCTCACTGTCCGAATGCCTGAAATGGTTGGAATTGGGCCCTGCTGAAGCTGGGAACCGGAACCCGGAAGACATTGTGGTAAGTGAAATCAGCAAGATGCAGAAAGACAAATTCTGCATGATCTTGAAGTAGGCAAGCATACAGGTTAAAACTGATTAGGTTGGTGAGCTGGAAGCGCATGCCTTCACCACGCCCCTGTGTGACCTCATCCCCTTACCTGGCCACACCTGGGTGCCCACCAGCCAATCAGGTCAATTAACCACTCCCCTCTGGAAGTGGGTTAAAAGCCTGGGACGCGGTGTGTCCTGGCCCTTCCCTTCTTCCCTGGCCTCTTGCCAGGAGGAGGCTTGCTGCAGCCCTGCGCCTCCAGGGCACGTGGGCCACCCGCCCTCAGCTTCCTGGCCCAGATGCTCCTCCACGTGGCTGATTCCTGGTGCTTGGTATGAACCCATATTTACCTCTCTCTCTTAAATAAAGCGCTCTGCCTCTGCTGTGCTGCCGGTGATAAGCGGTGGATAGCAGCTCGAGGTGCTTGCTGCACGTGGCTCTGGCCTGCTCTCCGAGTGGTGTGGACGCTACTCCAGTTTCCAGACTTTCCCATCTCTCCTACCTGAACTAAAGCCTCACTTTCCTAGATGCCTCTTGCACTAAATAAAAGCTTAAAACATACCATGCTGCCTCGTTTATCTGTGCCGGTATTTAGAATTCTTCTCTAAATATTAGGCAAGAACCCTCTTGGGCTTATTAATATTTGGGATTTATTAATAAGCACATGGTGAAATCGTATGGCACCCCAAATTCTGGTAGCTATGTGGCACCCCAGATACCACTTCTGGGGAACTTTAAAGGGCCACATTTTTGGTGTAAATTTTAGGGGGTCATGTCCGATTTTAATCTCACTTAGAGTGGGTTTCAAAAAAATTGAATTTATAGAAGCAGAAAGTAGAATGGTTGTTACCAGAGCCTAGGACTGAGGAATGGGGAAAAAAAACTGGGGAGATGTTTGTTAAAGGATACAAAGTTTCAATTAGAAGGAGTAATTTCTGGATATTCTTACCTATAGCACTCTAACTATCATTAAAAATATTATGGGGGGGGGAAGCCATTGTAATCCATAAACTACTTTGGAAATTTATATTTACTAAATAAAAAATTAAAAAATTAAAAAAATTATGTATAATAACTATGAAAACATGTTAATTTGTTTGACTGCACTAATCACATCACTGTGTATATCAAAATAACATGTTGCATACCTTAAATCTGTAGAATAAAAATGATTATTTCCTTCTTTAGATGTTAAGGAATTACCTACTAAAATTAAGATTGCATTAAAAATTGGTGAAAATTAAGTTTCTTGAATTTATGCTAAACTTATAAATTGAAATAATCTGCATAAATTGCAGATAATTTTCCTAAAAATGTTTAATGAAATTGTGTTGTATTCAGAGGCCAGGGGGCTTTGCAGAGTTACTACCGAACAGCAATATTAACTCTTTGGATAATGATATCCAACCAGGTTTCCAAGGGCCAAATAGTGAGTTGCTTGCAGACTAAAGATTCTAGAAGTGAAAAATTGAAAGTCAGAGGAAGAGACTAACTCCAAAAAAATGAATCACCTTCCAATTTTTAGGAAGTGTTTATCACCTCATTTTGAAAATAATTTTTATGTGCATATTCCAACTACTGTATGACCTTGACCAAATATTGAGTTCCCTTTGCTACAGTTTATTTATATGTAAGCAGGATGATAGAATTCCTTAGAAAATTATTCAAGGTAGATTATGTAAATCCCTTACAACAGTGCCTAGTACACAGTAAATGCTAAATGAATTCTGGTCACTATTCTTATTACTATCGATATGTCTATGAAAATCGTTTTTGCTACTAAATTTCTTCTTTTCACTATTTAATAATATTTTGTTCTTCACTGAAATAATTAAGAACTTATATAAATTTTGACAAGACAGTTTATTAAATAATTGTCTCTCAGTATCCATGGGGGATTGGTTTTAAGGGGCCTCTGTGGTTACCATGTCTTCCGACACTCAGCCCTTATAGAAAATGGTGGAGTATTTGCCTTTAACCTATGCATTCATCTCATACTTTAAATCATCTGAGGATGACGTATTATCTCATATGGTGTAAATGGTAGGCAAATAGTTGCATCCATTTGGGGAGTGAACCAGTGGAAGGAAGATTCTCTCTCTCTCTGTCACTCTGCCTTTCAAGTAAATAAATCTTTTTTAAAAATACTTTAGAAAGTATTTCACCAGAAAGTTGTGCATTTTGAAAATTGTCATTTTATATGGTAATTGTATTTCAGAAATGAGAATGAAATAACTATATTTTTGTAAATAGGAATATTTTGTATGCCATGGGAAATCCATGTACAGTTAGCCTTGTGAGATGTGGGTTCCACAATCAAAAATGTGATGGTTTTGTCTGTGTTGAACATACAGGCTGTTTTTCATTGTTGTGTTCTCTGAGGAAGATGTCGCAGTGAGAGGTAGCACAATGATTTGAACCCAGACAGTCCAGATACAGGGTTAACCAGTGTGTATCCGGCATGCTACAATTCCTCCTTCATCCAAGAAAACAGACTGTATTTTTAACTTCCTTTCTTATATGCAGATTCTCACAGTGTAGTTTAAAAGGAGCAGTATTAACCAGTTGGGTATTAGTTCTGGAATAGAAATGGTAGTTGGCCGGCGCTGCCGCTTACGAGGCTAATCCTCTGCCTGCGGCGCTGGCACACTGGGTTCTAGTTCCAGTTGCTCCTCTTCCAGTCCAGCTCTCTGCTGTGGCCCGGGAAGGCAGTGGAGGATGGCCCAGGTCCTTGGGCCCTGCACCCACGTGGGAGACCAGGAGGAAGCACCTGGCTCCTGGTTTCAGATTGGCGCAGTGCGCCGGCCGCTATGCGACGGCCGTAGCGGCCACTTGGGGGGTGAACCAACGGAAAAAAAGGAAGACCTTTCTCTCTGTCTCTCTTTCTCTCTGTCTAACTCTGCCTGTCAAAAAAAAAAAAAAAAAAAAAAGGTAGGTGGCTGTGTGAAAATTACCATATTCTATTGACTTATTCTGGGGTATAAAATCATTTCCTCATGTAGTCTTCAGTTGGACCACAAAACCTAAAGGCTGGTACTATGGGTAGTGGGTAAAGCCACCGCCTGCAGTGCCAGCATCCTATATGGGTGCCAGATCGAGTCCTGGCTGCTCCACTTCCGATCCAGCTCTCTGCTATGGCTTGGGAAACAGTAGAAGATGGCCCAAGTCCTTGGGTCCCTGTACCCATGTGGGAGACCTGGAAGAAGCTCCTGGCTCCTGGCTTCAGATTGGTGCAGCTCTAGCAGTTGGGGCCAACTGGGGAGTGAACCAGCAGAATGAAAGACCTCTCTATTTCTCTCTCTCTGCCTCTACTTCTCTCTCTGTGTAACTCTTTCAAATAAATAAAAATTTAAAAAATAATCATAATAAAGTAAAATAAAACCTAATGATCTTGCACATGTAACAATTCAACTCACATGATCCATCAGAGGACAGTAGCTGGAAGCAATTTGGGTACACAGCGTGGAATAGGTCATCTTGTCCAGTTTGCCTAGAAGTCTTCGGAGGGTGACCAAGGCCCGAATTACAACAGTCTTGTCTTTGGAAGCGAAGGCACCCAGGATGGCTACTAATAAGCTGCAGGCATTTTCTATCTACCCAGAAAAGGAGGAAAACGGTGGGATTCAGAAACAAGAAGGAGACTTGAGCCAGCATAAGTGTGTACACCTCTGAGTCTAGCCAGCACACCATGCTGTGCTAGAACCGACTCATAGGAGTCAATTGTCAAAAATGTTGTAAGCTGACTTTTAAATAAAAGCCATTAAAATATAACATTAAGAATTAAATAAAAATACTCAAATGTCATTACTTCCTAGTTATTCTGCTATATTTTGCTATTATTTATGCTCTTGAATTTATTTACATGTAATGTATTTGAATGGTGAGAATATAAAATAATGGTTTGCCACTGGGTATTTCTCTCAATCTGTTTTAGGTAACATCCTTGTGAAATCTCAAAATAAGGCATGGTTTTAATTATACCAGAGAAAATGGCCTTATCTCCAGAGATGTACTAAGTACATGCAAAACATGTACCAGCACTCCCTTGGCATGCGATCTGTGTAGACATGAGAGCTGAGTGTGGCTGCTGGGGCAATTTTGGCATTCAGCTACAGAAGACAGCCAAGTAGAATGGGAGCAAAAGGCAAATACACAAAAGGAGACACCAAAGAAAACATTTGAAAGGGGGAGGGGCAGAGAAAACAAGTACAGGAAGTTTATAAACATTATTTGCAGTGCATAGCTTAAAGGAGTAGGGGAAAAAGAGATAAGGATAATATTATGGCTAGAGGCCACTTGTAACTGGCTGGAAAGTTTTTTTACCAAAAGTATGTGTTGCTTCCACCCAGATTTATCTCCAGTGCTTCTCTTTAATTCTCCTAGCTCTCTTGGTCACACACTCTCCCTTCAGTTGTCAGCAGCACTGGGAAGAGCACTGGACAAAGAAAAATAACCTACTGCTTACTGAAAGAATATGCCTTGTTAATAAATCCATTAGCTGTTGTGATTTTTATGCAAAGCAAACAGACCATACATTTTGTCATTCTAAATGAAAAATGAATGTTCACTGACAGAATTTAAGCTTTCAGAAACTAAGTCAATAGATAAATAAGGACTACTTATTGGATTAGATTAGGTTAATTTATTAGGTTTATTAAGCAAGAATGTTCATGAAGGCCAAAGAAGATAAACACATTCTGGGTGCAATAAATAATTTTCTAGAAAAGCATTAAGTTGATAAAGCCACTAAACTGGCAACACATCCATTGTATTCAACTCAGTTTCCTGAATGGTTAAACACCAGGCTTTGGTATTGCTTCTGATATCTAGAAACTGAAAAGTCTCAGTTTTCAGCAGTAAGAATACTGAGCAACGTCCAGCTCACAGAGTAAGACTTTGATGGTGCTGGCCGACACAACTCATGCTCACATACCTCATTGATAACTGGGGCCATGCTGGCCAGTTTCTGAAGGCTCAGTTTGCAAACCGCAGGGTTGGAATCATTGACCCAGTTTCTGAAAAGGACCAGAAATTCCTCTGGGAATGGGTCCCTGAAGAAGTTATTCAGAAGCTGAAAGAAAGAAGTTAATCTCATAAGCAGAGGACAGGTCAATCGCATTTCTGTCTGTCATAAAAACCCAAAGTAAAATTAAACACAAATCACACTGGAACTCCAAATATTCACATGTATCGCTGTAAAATAAGGCTACTGAAAAATGTTTGTGGAAAATGGAATTTAAAATATACATTTAAGGGTGGATGCTTCGCATAGTGGTTAAGGTGCTGATTAAGACATCCTCATTCTACACTACAGAACCCGCACTTGATACCCAGATCCACCTCCTGATTCCAGCTTTCTGCTTGTACGAATGCTGGGAGTCAACCCGTGATAGCTTCTGCCACCCATGTGGGAGACATTTACTGGGTCCCTGGCACCCAGTTCTGGCCCCTTGAAATTGTGGGCATTTGGGGAGTAGGTCCAAGAATGGGAGCTATTTCTCCCTGTCTGTATTTCAAAGAAATCAATATATGTTTTAAAGATAAGTTTATTTGGTCTAAAAATGTTTTAAATCATTGCATGACTTTCATATATATATATATATGGTTTCCACAAACTTTTTGAACACCTTTGTATACGCGATTTCAACATTTTTTTGGCACCAAAATAAACTTCTAATTCCACTTTCAAAAAATCCATGTGAAGCAAACTGGTATTTGTACTCATAGAAATGGAGAAAGCAAGTTCTGGTTGGCAATCAGCTGGGTGAGTTTCCTGTAGAGTATGTTTTTATTATTACTTTAAAGTTTTATTTATTGTGAGGGAGAGAGAAAGACAGGGAGAGACAGACACAGAATTCCCATCTGCTGGCTTACTCTCTAAATGTCTGTGATTGTTGGCAGGTCTGAAGTCAGAAGCTGGGAATGTAATTCAGTACTCTGATGTGAGTATCAGAAACCCAATCATTTGAGCCATCCCTGGATGACCTAGGGTCTATACAAGCAAGAAGCTGGAATCACAAACCAGAGTCTGCTATCAAATTCACGCACTCTTATGTGGGATGTGGGTGTCTTCAGCAACTTAACTCCACCCCCAAGCTAAACTCCTGCCCATGTGTGTATTTTTATTTGCTAAGAACTGATGTTTACTACAGGCTAGGCACTATGCTAATATACGAGGATATACTGATGAGTGAAAGACTCTCAACCTATAAACTGGAGTGTATGTGATGACTGGAGAGACTGACAGTATGTAACATATATATATATATATATATTATAGTACATAGTATATATACTCTTACAATAGCAATTGTATAACGATGCCAATCAAATGAAAATAGTTTCTAACTGCGATTGGTACTAGGATAGAAAGTCACAAGATGCCACAAGAACATTTATAGAAGTACTGAGTTTAGATATATCAGGGTAAATGGATTTTATAAAGAGTGATATTTAGGTTTGAACATGAAAGCGTAGTGGCATTAGCTAGATCAAGTGTCCAGGGAGGGTTAGCCAGGTACAAAAGCCTTGGAGTAGATGGATCAGGGTGTGTCTGGGCACCTGAATGAGGAACACTGGAGTGAAGAAGGAAGAGAAGACAGTGGTGGTGAGGCTCCCGGGCATCCAGGGAAGGTGGCCCAGACCTGGAAACCAGCCAGATGAGGTTTAGTGGCCAGTGCCCAAAATGAGGACATGCTTATCATGAGCCTTCACGCACCTGGTAACTGGCAGCCAAACGTGCATGCTTTTAAAATGTCAGTTTTATGAAAGCACGCTTTCCAAGAAAGAATTTAAGATATTGCTAAAATAGATGAAGTGCACAGAGAGAGCGTGACACAATGAGAGGAAATGAGAAAGAGGGGCAGTGAATGACAGGAGAGGAGAGGAGAGGAGAGGAGAGGAGAGGAGAGGAGAGGAGAGGACACACCTCCTTTTCAAACTTCCAAGTAACTTTTATGAAAATTACATACCAGATCAAAAGATACCAACAAATGAAACATTTAAAACAAAACATTTAAAAATAACTTTTGAAAAAATATGGTATAATAAAAGAAGTTTAAATGAAAAAATAAAGTCTGTAAACTCTTGGAAATTTAAAGAGCCCTCCAATTTGTGGATCAAAATGTTTAAGCATAGAGGGAAACAAACATGCAGCAGGAGTTACCACAGAAACTGAAAAACAATAAAACTGTTCTATAAGAAAATAAATATTTATACTTAGTTGGAAGTAACTGCATCACTTGGCCTAAAATAATTTACCTAAAAATAAATGCTAAAAGGAACAAAGAATTTGCTTCCTGAAATCAAGAGAAACAAGATGGCAACATAGTAATCGAAATCACATGACTGTCAATTAATTTTAACTATAGAATTCTTCCAACATTTTAAGGATATATGATTTACAAGATCCACAAATTATTCAGTAGTGTAGAAAAACATTGGGCATCGCCTAATTGATTTTTAAATACACTAGAAATACTGTACCAAAACAGGAGAGAATCCAACATAATAGATAAATGCAGAACAGAATTGCTGTTAAATATGAACATGAAAATTCTTAATGAAATGCTAACAAATCAATTTCTACATATTCCTAGTTTATACAATATTGCAATGATAATTTTAATAGTAGGCTGTTTGTGAATAGTGTATATCATTAAGTCGTATAAAAAACATCACATTGTTTAGAGTTAAAATAGTCAATAAAATTCAATATTTCAATTATAACTATAATAAAAATCCATAATGGAACCAGAATGGGGTACTATCACCATGAATATTTAAAACTGTGCAGCAAGATGGCTGAGAAGGAGAGGCCCTGCTCACATACCCTCCCTCCCCCTGACACACATATCAGAAATAATTTTACAGCCATCCAGAAGCAAACATAGCTTTTCAGGGGCACTGGGATTTAGGCACAAGGCCCAGAAGCCTTGATGAAACCTAATATTGAAGAGTTTTTTTTTTTTTAACATTTATTTGTTTATTTGAAAGGCAGAGTTACAGAGAGGCAGAGGCAGAGAGAGAGAAAGGTCTTCCATCCTCTGGTTCACTCCTCAAATGGCCACAATGGCTGAAGCTGGACCAATCCAAAGCCAGGAGCTAGGGGCTTTTTCCAGGTCTCTCACATGGGTGCAAGGGCCCTAGGACTTGGGCCATCTTCCACTTCTTTCCCAGGCACATTAGCAGGGAGCTGGATAGGAAGTGGAGCAGTCAGGACTCAAACCAGCACCCATATGGGATGCCAGCACTGCAGGTGGCAGCTTTACCACTATGCCACAGTGCCTGCCCTGAGAGGAGGGTTGTTTTGAAAAGGCAAACCAACAACCACGTAGCAGGCTTCCTATGTAGTCACAGTGCCAGACCCAGAAAGGATCATATCCTACTCTGGACTGACTATAGCTCTGTTTGGCTTTAGCCCTTCACCAGATCCATCCTTCAGACAAGCTGGGAAGAGTCACACTCACTTGTTCCTGGGGTGATTGTCCTGCTGACATTGATCTTAGCTGTGGACCCTGAAGTGGCCCTATGGCTAGACTAGAATCCAGCCCCTCTCAGAGATGGCCAGCTTGATGACCTGTTGGTGACATGCCCATCTATGACCTTGCAAGTGGACCTGCTAATTGTTCCCACAAAAATCCTGAAACAGTCCTGTAGCTCAGCGCTAGCCCCTTTCAGCTTGAGTTTAGTAGCAGTCTTGCCTGCCCAGAGACTTGCTGGGTGATGCACCTATCTACGCATCTAAAAGATGTGATTCTGGCTGTGGGCGCTGAAGCATCCTTGTGATTCTGTCCTTATTTACAATGGTCTGGGTCCAGTCCTGTTCAGGGATTTATCCAGTGGCATAGTGGGAGTCCCCTACTGCAACCAGAGGGAGTCGTTGTGTACTTGCTAACATGTGTGCCATCTGTGCCCTCTGAATGAGGCCTCTCATCACAATGCCAACATTATTGACTAAGATTTGGAGATAATTCAGTTCATCCAGTGATCAGACAGGAGCCATGCCTGTTTGAGTCCCTGGTGATAAGCCCAACAACAGCAGGTCCCAGCATTAAAGGATCCAGCTCAGCCTCCACTCATCCACAATCCCAGGGGTAATCTCCTCAACCTAAGAATCCAAAAGAAAGATGTGTGCTCCCACAAACCATGTGCGCATCAGTGGACACTGCTGTTCAGAAATAAAGTGGACATTAAAAATCTTTATTGTTCATAATATGTAGGCACAAAAATGTATACTCTTTTCATATTTATATTAGTAAAAAATAGAAATAACAAGTATGCATGGATAAATTGGCATAGGCATTAAGGGTAGTATTTAATTATCACTGGCCTAATTGATTGGCTATATCAGTAAAATACACATACTGTGTACTGAAAACAATCCAGGGCCAAGTGATCTCATAGTATGCTAGATAACTGAAGATGCCCAGAATCCAAATTGGAGGAAGTGGTACAAGAATGTGGTCATGACTGAGAACCTGGAAGGGTGGGTGTGCCAGCCTCCTGTAATAAAAGCATTCATGTATTCATGCCAAGAAAAGCAATCCGTTTCCTTAAATGTCATCCATCACATTGATGGTGCTAATATAAATTATATGTAGTTTGTAAATTTCTATTGAATGCATCATTTTGTGGAAACTCTTATTTAAGTTATGTTTAAACCCTTTTACTGTTTCTATATACATAAATAGTAATACAATGAAAACATGACTAACAATAAAATTAATGAGAGATCTAAATGGCTTAAGTACTTTTGAAAACCAGTGATGATTTCCTATGACAATGTCCAGTTAAAATGATTTATGTACATGTGTACTTGTTAAAGCTTTAGAAGTAGAGAATATTGTAAGTGGGTGTCTTTTATAGTGCATTAAAACTTTCGTTATAATATTTGAAATTATCTTAAATGTTTTAAGATATTAGACATCACACCTTAGGAAATACTTGCCTATTAAAACACTGTCTTCATGGAAAAATTAGACTTCGTTCAGAGAAGTATTTTATAAGAAAAAAGATTTCCGTAATTTGCTTGACTCCAGTAGGTATTAGAATATGTAGCAAAATATCTATCTACTAAGTAAAATGGTTCCCTGTCTTCATTTTACCATTATTTCGCTGATTCCTTCATTCTTTCCCCTTCACAACAGTCTGAAGTATCATCCTGTTACCCTCATCTTTAGTATATACAATTAAACATCCATGTACTTTGGGGCCACCACAGTGGCACAGCAGGTAAAGCCACCAGCTACAGAGCTGGTAACCCATATGGGTGCCGGTTCGAGTCCTGGCTGCTCCACTTCTGATCCAGCTCTCTGCTATGGCCTGGAAAAGCAGTGGAGAATGGCCCAAGTCCTTGGGCCCCTGCACCCATGTGGGAGACCTGGAAGAGGCTGATCTGGCTTCAGATCAGCGCAGCTTTGGCCATTGTGGCCAACTAGAGAGTGAACCCGTGGGTGGAAGACCTCTCTCTCTCTCTGCCTCTCTTTCTCTCTGTGTGTAACTCTGACTTTCAAATAAATAAATAAATTTTAAAACAAGCAAACAACCACCCATGTACTTGAACAGGCTTGCAGGAATAGATGAACTGGTACTACAAGTCATTAGTGTTTGTACCGAGCCGCATCTTGTAGAAGATAAAAGCCAGTTCCTGAGGCAGTCTAAAGGATCAAAACATGTCGCATAATCCAGATCTAACTGTACACCCCACCCACCCCCAACCTAAGATATTTTTCATTATCCCAATCCATCGTAAGAAAAAATATTCAGGGAGGGAGATGTGAGGCTGGAGCGGTGGTTGATTTGATAGAGAATGAAAATTAGGTTGCTCCTAGCATCCTAATAAAACTCACTTCAGTAAGGAATATTGTTGTGATGATACTGTCTTCTGACCTTCTAGGACCTTCCACTGAGATCTTGTAGAGATAATGTAAGGTCTCTGGAAACTGTGGAAAGTTATAGTCACTGAGAGTTCTGCAAAAGAGAATGAAATACTGGATTATCTTGGAGGACGAAAAGACATTCTACATCAGCAAATGCTAATAGTGACAAAGAGAGAACCATCCTCATATCTTGTGCCTTTCAGATAAAAAAAGACTTTAACATTCAATCCTCATCTAAGGCAAAGTGCACCCCACTGTTGCAGTAACACAGACCCTGGGGAATTGTGATACCTGGGTCCTTGTCACCATCTCTTTCCTTACTGTTACTTTTCTTTCTTTTGTCTCCAATTCCTAACCAAATTTCTAGCACTCACTTCAAGATGGCAGTACAGCTCATCTTTGTGATTTGGGACTATGCCCTTCTTTCGAATGCATAATAAAAAGGACAGTTTGGTACAACGCTGTGTCACTTAAGAAGAGAAGTGGTGAGCTATGATTAGCGAAACCATTCTCCATAACACACTTGGACTGGCCTGGATCAGATTGGTCAAGATAGGATTGGGAAGGAGGATGTGACAAAGTTTCCATCGCAAGACTCCAATTTGGTCTTGTCTTTCAGATCAATGCTTCTTAAACTATAATGTGCATGCAAATCACCTGGAAATTATGCTAATGCAGATTCTATTGAGTAGGTTTTGTGCTGCGCCTGAGATTCTAAATTTTTAACTCATAGGTGTTGCTGGGACAGCTGGTCTGTAGACCACATTTTGAGTAAGAAGATTAAAAAAATACTAAGGACAAAATGAAAATTAGTGGCCACTTATAAGGTGCAAATGTACTAACCTTTTACAAAACAGGATGTACTCCTGAACTATATGTGCCAACGAGTTGTTTGCAAAGCACCAAGAGCCCATAAAGCATACTATACTTTCTGAATCAGCCACAACTTCAAATGGTCTGGAATGTTTCCAAGGCTTTGTAACCTGATTCTTGATCATGAAATCTGATCTCTATCATCAGAAGCTTGCTATGTACTAAAGCACTAACCAGGAAAACAAAGCAAAACAAACCCTTTCCAGTACAAGAAAAATGAAAACACTCTTCTGTTATTTTCCCAAAATTTATTTGGCTCCTTGAGCAGAGCATTTCATCAGCCCTTTTAAAAATGGGAGCACATTTCAAACTATGATGCCTTTAAAGAAGTAATCAGCTAACATCAGAGGGAACAAAACGTCCTCACTTCTAGTTCTATGTACAAGTATCTGAAAGACAAACCTGCTTTGTAAAGGGAGGGCCACTGGCCATCTGCATCATCAAGAGAAAAGAGGGTAGCAAACGTCAAAATAGACCCAAATAAAAACTGCTCAAAATAACCAAAGAAGTAAAAATCAAACGGCAATTCAGATCGTTAAGAGACATTTGGAAATTGTGGTGTAAACTGATTGTGTTCCACATGGCGTAATTGAAAAAAAAAAATGGACAAGGTGGGATAGAGACCAAGAATCCTTTGCAGAGGCCCCTGTTCTTACTTGGCAACGAGGTAGACCCCATGATGGTGATAGAGAGCTTGGGAAAACTGGTTCCAGCAGTTCTTTTTCTTTAGAGCTATATCCACATTTTGCAATCCAGAACAGTTTAGCAGAACTCTCAGGGCATCTTGTGCGTAGCTAAGGCCCAAAGAAAGGCAGAGTCATCACCTGACGGTGACATCACATAACAGATATCACCGCCCGTTTGACCCATCTTGGACAGGACACAGATGGTGAGGAAGGGGGATGCTTCAAAGGAAGGAGTTGCTAAGTGCTCTTTGTTGACCCTGATTAACAGTGCATAAGATGCGTGTCCAAACTGAATCTAGGGTAAATCAGACAACAGCTTATTGGTTTGGGTTATTTGTCAGAAATGTTTGATGTGATCACTTGCTAAAGGTGTGGGTTTTCTTTTGTGGATGCTTTGTGGGTCTCATCTTGGGCTGATTTGGTGTATGCCTGCTTGGAGGACGAGAGTGGATTGCCTATCTTAAAGGGACTGAATGTGTTTTAGAGCTCTGCATGGCTTTGACATCCACACCGGATAAGGGCAAACAGCTCCCAGCTGAGTGGAGATTTCCCTGCAGGGCAGTGAATTCAACTGCATTGTATCCTCTTGGGCAAAAGGGAATTGCTAAACTCTTCTCTATGTGGACAGATGACAGTGGAATGTTTTCATAAGGCACACATCACATTCCAAACCACAGAACAACTTCACAGCTCACGAAGTATGTTTGTGCACACTGCTGCATCTGAAATGCACAATGACCCTGAGAAGTGACTCCCAGAGAGTAAGTAAATGGCATAGCTTGAATGTGTCTGCCTTGGATCCAGTGTCCCTCCTTGTTCTCTCCCTGCCTGATGTGACAATGACTGGCTTTGATGTGACAGTGCATGTGGCAAGCATACACTGAGCTCTGTGATAGTAGCTCTTTAGTGCTACAAACACACATTCAAGGAAGGGCTAGCTAACTTCTACGTACTCAAGGGTCACTTTTCTGAAGGCATTTGACTCTTCATAAGAGAGAAAACTAATAAACGCATGCACTGAACACAGGATTACACACAATCCCACATAAGCACAAGGGAGTGGACAGAGTCTACAGCTGGATGCTTCTCTTTTTCAATCTGAAATAACCAGCAGTGTCTCACAGGGGCCTGGCCTCTGGCATCAGTCTCAGCTCAGTGCTGTAGAAGAGCTGAAGCATGAGGGCCACCAAGAGCTGCGGGAAAAACTGGGCCACTGCTTTCTTGTAAGAGCCAACAGGGAGCAAAGTGCACAGGGCCTGGGATGCCTGTAAAGGAAGGAAAATAGAGTTAAAAAAGGAAACTACCCCCCCCCCCCAAACCCAGTCTTGTTGAGCAGAGTAAGTAGCGAACTCTTCAATCCGTCCTGTGGTCTCCTTGAAGGAAACCTGAAGCATGCATGTGTGTGCACTCACTCCACAACAGCCATTAAGTTGATTGTGAGCCAGGCACTGTGCCAAGCATTCTCTGGCAAATCACTATTTCAAACCAAACCAAACCCTTGGCTGCCAAATCACCAGGAAGCCAGCCACTCCTCAAAGAAAGTATATACCCCAAGGTTCCCTTCATAAAGGCTCATGAAGAGTGGCCCTGCTAAGAGCCTAGGTCCTCGCTATGCTGAAACAATGCGGGGAAATGAGAGGCTGAAAGAGTGGCAGACCAGGCCACAGACGCGTTACAGACTGACCACTACAGCACTCACCACATCAAGGACATAGTCCCACACCTCACACTAGCAATGCCAACTGATTTCTATTGTATCCTGTAAGACCTACATTTACTTCCAGGAGTGGTAATAGTGATCCTTGACTGATACACATTGACGGACACAGATGAGATTAGGTCTTCACATGCCTATAAAATTCTGTATGATCTGACCTGCGGCTCTCTCTGACATCTCCCACACTGGGCCCTTGTTCAGTTCACTCAAACTCTGGCTCCTTGCATTCACTGACTACCAGGTAAGCATCTGTCACCTCAGTGCTCTTGCCTTTCTTTGCCCAGAACTTGCCTTCTCAGATGCTCTGCAAGGATCAGACCCTCACCTGACTCGGGTCTCTGATTAGGAGTCTCCTCAGCTGAGAAATCTGCCCTGATGAACTTATTTAAATATTGTCCGTCCCTTTCTTATTCCCACATTTTCTTTGAAAGGCAAAGAGACAAATGGAGAGAGATCTTTCATCCATTGGCTCATTCCCCAAGTGCCCATAATAGCCAGGACTAAGTCAGGCCAAAATTAAGGGCCCAAAAATCAGTCTGGGATTCCCACATGGGTGATAGGGACCCAAGTACTGAAGCCATCACATACTGCCTCCCAGGGTGTGTATCAGCAGGAAGCTTGATTAGAGGAAGAGCTAGGATACCAGCCAGGCACTCTGATATGGGATATAGGCATCCCAAGCATCAAGTTAACCCCTGCACCAAACACTCACCCCAACTTTATAATTCCTCCAACATTTAGAAGACCTAACATGTAACACACTTATTTGCTCATTGGCTGTGTCTCTAATGAGGATGTAAGCACTTTCATCAGGGCATGGCACATAGTAAGCACTCATTAGATATGTGTTGGGTGAATGGATGCATGATTGTCTGTGTGCAGGCAGGAATTTGCATGAGCAGAATATTCCAGCGATGGAGAAACATGCATGTCATTTACCGCCACAGGCATCATGTTGGTAGCATCAAGAGAGAAACGTCTCCTGTCCATTTGGTTTTCCTCCATTTCCCCAGGCTTTCCTTTCAGTATCAGCAGGATTGTCTTCAGCACGTGAGGGGCCACACTTGACTCAGAGCCTGCCGCTTGCCACATCAGTATCACCGTGCTGCAACAGAGCCCCCCCACCCTGCAGTGAGGATCATGTTTATTGTTTTTCTACTTGGTACAGTGAAATCAGGAAAGGGGTCTTGGTTTTACATTTCTGTATAGCATGCACACTGAAGGCAAATCCAGAACACCCTGAGACTGCTATTTCCAAATGACCCTGTAAGCCTCCTATCCTCAAAAGTAGATGAGGAATTTCCCATGGGAAACACAGTGAGTAAGTCTACAGGCTCATTTCCTGCTGCTGGTGAAACGCCTGTCCAGCTCATTGCCAAATGCTAACCAACTTTCTGTACCGCCGACCCTCTCTGCTGCTCTCACTATGTGACCTTGTTTGCTCAAAAATGTTAGAAAATTTAAAAGCAGACATAAGAATATAAATTAATAGATAAAATAAACACAGATAAAATGTTTATAACCTTAAACAAATAAAAACACTAATGAACTGATGAAAAATAAAAACAAATACTGAATTTGGAGGGGTGATCCTTTTGCCAAATGTCAATGTTGATTAGTGACACAGATATGACTAGAACACTGGCTGCTTGATCTTCAACTAGCTCATTCCCCTACAGATTTGGTCACTCTTAAGATTTTTCTTACGATTGGTTGTATTTAAAGTGCTGAATGTTTCTACATCAATGCATTCCTGATACCTTGTCAATTCACACTGGGTTTTGAAGTCTATTGTTCAAGATTTCTGCTGTAAGTTCTTAAAGTGCCTAATCTTCTGGAACATGGACACACCCAGCTCTGTACAACCCATTGCCAAACTGCTGTCGCCAGCAGGGCTCATGCTTAGAACCACATCAGACCTCAAGTGCCCTGTCTCATCCTCTCCTTGTTTATTTCTGCTGAATGGTCAAATTGTCTACATGTTTCTTTGGTTTATCTTAATTCCAGATCCTGGTCTTTTCTGTTTTCATACTCACCTCTCATCTCTTTTTTTTTTTTTTTCTTCTTTTTTTTTTTTGACAGGCAGAGTGGACAGTGAGAGAGAGAGACAGAGAGAAAGGTCTTCCTTTGCTGTTGGTTCACCCTCCAATGGCCGCACCATGCTGATCCAATGGCAGGAGCCAGGTGCTTCTCCTGGTCTCCCATGGGGTGCAGGACCCAAGTACTTGGGCCATCCTCCACTGCATTCCCTGGCCACAGCAGAGAGCTGGCCTGAAAGAGGGGCAACTGGGACAGAATCCAGTGCCCCAACCGGGACTAGAACCCGGTGTGCTGACGCTGCAAGGCGGAGGATTAGCCTAGTGAGCTGCGGCGCCGGCCGCCTCTCATCTCTTAAGACCTGCTGGTGACTTATTTTTTTAAAGATTTATTTATTTATTTATTTGAAAGATTATACAGAGAGAGGGAATGACAGAGAGAGGTCTTCCATCCATTGTTTCACTCCTCAACAAGCCATAATGGCCAGGGCTGAGTCAGGCTCAAGTCAGGAGCTAGGAGCTTCCTCCAGGTCTCCCAAGAGGGTGGCAGCAGCCCAGGCACCTGGCCCATCTTCTACTGATTCTAGGCCATTAGCAGCGAGCTGGACTGAGTGGAGCAGCTGGGACACCAACTGGCATCCATATGGGATGCCAGCATCACAGGCAGCTGTCTCACCCACTGTTCCACATGCTGGCCCCTAGTCTTGCTGGTGACTTCTTTTATTTTTTTATTTTTCTGACAGGCAGAGTGGACAGTGAGCGAGAGAGAGAGACAGAGAGAAAGGTCTTCCTTTACCGTTGGTTCACCCTCCAATGGCCGCTGCAGCTGGCGTGCTGTGGCCGGCGCACTGCGCTGATCCGAAGGCAGGAGCCAGGTGCTTCTCCTGGTCTGCCATGCGGGTGCAGGGCCCAAGCACCTGGGCCATCCTCCACTGCACTCCCGGGCCATAGCAGAGAGCTGGCCTGGAAGAGGAGTGACCAGGACAGAATCCAGTGCCCTGACCGGGACTAGAACCTGGTGTGCCTGCGCCGCAGGCAGAAGATTAGCTTATTGAGCCGCGGCACCAGCCGCTGGTGGCTTCTTTAGTTAAATTCAGCTGGTTCTAATTATGCCTGCTTTCTGTATCTCCTCAACACTCATTATTTGTGCTGGACTCATTGGTAAATTGTGTCTTATTTCCGTGAGGGTACATTCCTTCTCCTTAAAAAAAAAAAAATGGGCAAGTAATACTTTACACACAGCAGGTGCTTTGTTCCTGAATGAAAAACACTGAGTTTTATGAAGATCTTTCTAGAACAATTATGAATAGCAAAATATTATGTGACGTTAAAAGTGCCTAAATCAAGGTAATCTTTCCATCATATCAATAAAGCTGTATAATTTGTTTAGAACTTTCATAAACATTAATTCAGACATCTTAAACCTCTTTGGAATGGAAAGGACTTTCCACTTTTCACAGATGAGGGAATTGAGCATCCTGGAGATTTGCAAGGGTCAAGGTTGAGATGAAATTCTGGTCTACTTGTTTTCAAATCTAGATCCCAATCCATAATATGGCTTCCTAACTTTTACAATGCTAATAGTAGAGAACATCTTTATTTCCAATGCACAAGTTATAAGAAAGGAGTGATGTGATTTTCTAAGCTTTTTAAGTGTCTTTAGTTTCATGTTGTCCTATAAGCTTACATTAACATTTTTAAATTCTTAACGTTTTTTTACAATTTTGGATCATGAATTTCAGAGTAACAGTTAAAGACAGAGAATTCCTAATTATATTCAAGTTCTTTTATTTTGTTATTTTATTTGTTAGTTTACTGGCCTTCATAGACTAGAAGACTCTGTATGTTTTTTTTTCTCTAGAAAAATGGGTAAATTCACAAATTAGAAGGAAAACTCATAACCACCTTGAAGAAAGGTTTGTTCCTACAGGGCATGAAACCAAGTACAACTTAGAGTCTTGTGTATGCAAAGAGACGTTGATCGTTTCCTGGGGGTGTGCTCTGTGCAGTATGCTGTATAGGGATATGAATAACATGCTAGTATCTGGTCTTATTTGGGGTTTGGTTTGTTGTTTTCTAGCTCCTTTTGATGCACTGATAGCTCATTGATTTGATGGCTTTATAATTTTCTGGTGTTTTTTCTGTTTCAGGAAAAATAAACCAGGCCTGATTCTGATAGCTCAGGCCTTGGACACAGGTCTATCTCATTGAGGAGACGGTAAACAAAACTCGTGAGTGGCAGGAACAGGGAAACCTTACTTGTCAGCTGGGACTGGGTAGTCCATGAGTTGAAAGATAACCTTTTTGGGTGAAGTACGTGTCAGCAAGGTGATGACCCGCAACAAGGCTTGCTTCATATTATGAAAAGAATTCCCACTCAATTGCTTATAAATTGCATCCACAATCTTAGACACCTAGAAAAGAAATTTCACAGGTTAACAGGAGGCTTCCTTCATGGCCCCCTCTAAATCAAGGAATATTTTTGCATTAAAAATTCAATCTTTATTAAACTGAACAAGACAGGAACACATAAATAAGCATCGCCATAAAGTGTGTTTGTGTGTATGTGAGACCATGTAATTTTGATAAGGAAAAAACCTGTGCATATATGGGTAATGAGAAAATACACATTTTTTGAAGAAAATTTTACTTTGAGAGGGGGCCGATTTCATTCTAAAAGACATGAGTTCAGTGTAGAAAATACCTGCACAATCAAAATACTTGAAAATAGAAGAAATGACCAAGAATAAAAATGTAACAATATACTAAAAAACCTCTGAAAATTAAATATTTAAATCTATATATTGAAAGGATTAACTGCACATCAGGGGATATCCTGATGGTAAGAACTAAGCCATAATCTTGCAAACTCTACTCAAAGACCCCATTCCAGTTTTGTTTTTACCCTCTCTATTTCACTCATTCTTAAATAAGGATAGTTCTTGCTAGACCTGTAATTTGCTGTCAACATCAAAATTCACCCAGATCACATATTTTGAAAATACTCTTCACTTATTCTGAAGTTGGTTTATCCAAATTTCTACTACATTGCAGTGAATCATACATAATTCAGTTCTTCCACTCTACACAAAATAAAAAAGTGAATGAAATGTTAAATAGCATGAGGCATTCCTCCTAGCACATGCTACAAGGTGAGCTTGCCATGAGAGACATGAAATATTGTTCTTCTCCTTGACTGTAGGTTTTAGAGCTGCTCCTCATTGTCCCCTACCTTTGTTAAAGGCAGCAAATCTTTCAAACAAATTAGCTATGCCACTGGGTGCTCAATTATGGAAAGGATTATCGGCTTTTATCCCCAAGGAAAGACTTGATGTGGTAAATCTATTTAGATCACAAGCCCATAATGCTATATATGCAACTTTGGGATATTTTCAATTATACACAATTTATCCTTATACTGGACCTTAGAACCTAACCTTGTTTAGGACAAGACCATTGTATGTGGTCCTTCAGATGTTTGTAGGAGCTGGTGTGGGATAATTTAAGTTGATGATCTTCATTTGGTTCTGTTTTTAGGAGTTAGTGATTTCACTGTAGCTATTTCTACATATTTAGTTTTCTGTTAGGTGCCTCATCCTCCCCAGATTCTTGGTATGGCTTTATCTAACTTCCCTTTAAGTGTTTTCTCTTATTCATTATAAGACATGGGAGGACTCTATTTTGCCAAGGAGCCGTCCAATGCTCTTAAGTTTTTCCTCTAGTTGTGTTTTTCCTACAGAATGTTCCTGTATCTAGTAGCATGGGGAATTTTATATGTAGCATTATGCCCCTTTTCTTGCAATTGAACTTAGGATAGCTCTCAGCTAATTTCAGTCACATTGGACTGAAATGTCAGAGAGAGAATTTAGCCCTATGTCATTATCAGGGCTGATTTCTTGCACTTATAACCTATACACATGTACAGAGATCCATGCTTAAAAGACCCTCTATGTTTGTGTAAAACTTTACCTTTGTCATCTTGAAATTTTAAATAATTTTTATCATTAGGCTTGTTTTATAAAGCACAAGGGAATAGGGGAGATATTTGTGATATGTAAGTCTACAGTGGTTCCTGCAGTCCCATATGTAGTGTTCACAAAACTCTATGAGCATAGAATTCCAGTGGACCAATGATATGGGGGAATTCACTGAAAAACAGAGTACAATATAAGCATCTTATTGAAGCCTCATCTGCTTAGTCCCAAAAATTATGAAAAAGAAAGAAAGAATAAGATGTGTTCTAGGATTTAAACATATCCCACAAAAGACATGTGTTGGAAACATTGGGATTACCCCTACGCAATCATACAGAGAAGTGGGAAATTAAGAGAAAATAATTTGATCTTGAGGGCTGTTGTTAGCGTGTAGGTGGGTTAATTATGGTGGACTAAAGACAGTTTAGCCCCTTCCATTGGCTTTCATATATTCTATTTTGTCCTTCTTCCTAAGCTGTGAAATGACACAAAAAGAAGACCCTCAACAGGTGCAGGTCTCTCAATCTCTGACTTTCCAGCCTCCAGAACTATAAGAAATAAATTTCCATTTTTATAGATTACCTGATCTCAGGTATCCTATTAGAGCAACAAAAAGCAGACTGAGGCAGAAATATATAAACCCTCTCCCATTCAGTCCTTCCTTACTCATCAAAGAGTTGAAGGTTAGAGAATGCTAAAATATGTCAATGATGAGAAATGAAATTAAAATAATCAGTTTTAGTTAGTGTTTTCAGTCTTCTAGGAAGAATGAAATGCTATGCATTTATGATCTATGAAGTTATTTTGGTGATTATATAGTTAGTTAAATGCTCTTATATGTACATTTATAAATGGTATTGCACAATATAAATATGGGTATTGAAATATATACTAATAATTTTAAATTTTGGCTGGGTTTTTTTTTTTTTTACTTAGAAGACATTAAATAGAAAATAAAAACCATGAAGACCTGAGAGAAAGGGGTAGGGGACAATATGAAGGAAAGGAAAATACTTAATAGCTATTTATTTAAATAATTTTTAAAAATTATTTCCTTTGTTGGCGCTGCGGCTCACTAGGCTAATCCTCCGCCTAGCGGCGCCAGCACACCGGGTTCTAGTCCCAGTTGGGGCACCGGATTCTATCCCAGTTGCCCCTCTTCCAGGCCAGCTCTCTGCTGTGGCCAGGGAGTGTAGTGGAGGATGGCCAAAGTACTTGGGTCCTGCACCCCATGGGAGACCAGGATAAGTACCTGGCTCCTGCCATCGGATCAGTGCGGTGCGCCGGCCGCAGCGCGCCGGCCGTAGCGGCCATTGGAGGGTGAACCAATGGCAAAAGGAAGACCTTTCTCTCTCTCTCACTGTCCACTCTGCCTGTCAAAAAAAAAAAATTTCCTTTTTTTTTTTTGAAATCTAAAGAGAGAGATAAAAAGAGAGATCCTCCATCCATTGGTTCGCTCCTTAAATGCTAGCAGCAGCTGGGGCTGGGCCAAGCTGAAGGCAGGAGTAGGGAACTCCATTCAGGTCTCCCAAGTGGGTTTCAGGGACTCCAGTACTTGAAATATCAACCTGCTGTCTCTAAAGTTTCGCAAATTGGAAGCAGAGCCAGGACTCAAACCCAGGGCCTTCAGTGTGGGATAAAGATATCTCAACCAGCTTGTACTTCTGTAATTTTTTTCCTATTTTTATTTTTTCCTATACTGTGCAGAATAAGCCTCATGCTTCACTTTGCACTGAGCCCCACAAATTATGTAGTGACCTTATAACAAGCTAGGTCCTTGAAAATTTTTCTTTAAGAGCTACACATGAGATTTTAATTATAGCTGTGTGATGTTATTATTAATGTGTTTATTTTAATAATTTGAGCAAATATGACACATAATCTGATTTAATATGTTTGGTAGTTAAATTTTCATTAAATTATTTTCTAAAATTTCCTGTATTCTTGAAATATTTAATATGTCAAATAAAAAATACAGTGGAAAGCCTTAACAATACACTGTGTGAGGAAGAAGAATATTTGAATTAGAAGACAAATCTTTGTAAATTTCTCAATCAGACCAAAAAAAAGAAGAAATTAGAAAAATTAAAATAAGCGTTGAAGATTTATGGAATACTATCAAACAGCTCAAAGAAGGGCTTAGGAGTTCCTGAGACATGGAAATAGAGAACTTACTAGAAGGCTATTCAGTGAAATAATTATATCTTTCCTAATTTGGAGAAAGAAAGGCATGTCCAAGCACATAAACCACAAGAGCTCCTAACAGACCAAAGAAGATCTTTACCATGACACTTTGCACTCAAATTTTCAACAGTAAACATAAAGAGAAGAATCTAAAATATACAAAAGAGAAATGCCAGATTACTTTCATAGAACCCCCAATTAGACTCACAGCTGACTTCTCATCTGAAACCCTACAGGCTAGAACAAAATGGAGACACATAGTGAGTCTTAAAAGAAAAAAACTGTCAACCCAGAATACTGTACCCTAAAAGGTTCTCATTTATGAATGAAGGTGAAATAAAGACCTTCCAAAACAAACAGAAATTCAGAGAATTTGTAACCACACATCCAGCCTTAAAAATGATGCCTAAGTATTTCTACACATGGAAACACAGAAAGATAGTCATAATTATGAAAGATTGTGAAGGCAGAAAATCCCTCAGTAAAAGGACAAAGGAAATCCAAAGCAAACAATAGGAATATTACAGAAAAATGGCAGGGCTATGTCATTACTTATTAATAGTAACCTTGAAAGTAAATGGCCTAAATTCTCCAATTCACATATACAGACTGGCTGAATAGATTAAAAATGAGAACTATCTATTTGCTGACTACAAGAAATGAATCTTATCAACAAAGATACATGCAGACTGAAAACGAAAGGATGGAAAAAATATTCCATGCTAAAGTAAAGTAAAAAGGAGCAGGTGTAGCCATCATAATATTAGACAAAATAGACATTAACACAAAACTGGTAAAGAAACAAAGAATGGCATTATATAATGATTAAGAGATTGATTTAATGGGAAGATATGACTATAATAAATGTATATACACTCAATGCCAGGGTGCCTGGCTACTTAAAACAAACTTTAATGGATTTAAAGTGAGGCATAGACTCCAATACAATAGTAATGGACTACTTCAACACCCCACTTTCATTAATTAACAGATCAATTAGACAGATAATTCACAGAGAAACAGAGCTATCTATCATCTGGATCAAATGAACCTACCTGATATCTACAAAATTATCTTTCCACAGTTGCAGAATATAGATTCTGTTCATCAGTGCATGATCTCTAGGACAGAACATATGTTAGGCCATAAACAAGTCTCATCAAATTAAAAAAATTGAAATCATACCATGCATCCTTTCTGAAAAAAAGAATGAAGCTGGAAATTAAAAATTAAAGAATCTCTTGGACATATGCACA